CCTGATATATTTGGTAATGATATTTGAATAATCAAGAACCTAGACTGGCAGCAAACGGCCTGCACACGGATAGAAAATGAGTTCAGCAGATATATAGAAAGGATGTGTCTTTCACCGGACTTATTCAACCTATATACAGCGAGGCAATTCTGAGAGAACTGGAAATCCTACCAGGATTCATCATTGGCGGCCACAATCTTAACAGCATAAGATACACGTATGACACAATGCTGATAGCAGACATGAAAAGGAAATTATAAAACCTCCTACAGAAGGTAGCGAAGGAGAGCGAGAAGAAAGGACTAAGCATAAACTACAAGAAGACAGAATGCATGGTCATCAGTAAAAAAGATGAACCCGAAATGCGATTTACAGGTCGGGGACACTAAAATCAAGCAGGTGCGGAAATTTAAATATCTGGGAAGTGTTCTGACAGAGGACGGTAAGTGCGACGCTGAGATCCGAAGACGTATTGGGATGGCCAAGGACACATTCCAAAAGCTAAGCAGAGTATTACGAGACAGGAGGATTTCGTTGGTAACAAAGAAAAGAGTACTGAACTGCTACGTGATATCTGTCCTCCTTTACGACAGCGAATGTTGGACGGTCTCCTCAAAGATGAAGAAGAGACTCGAGGCAACGGAGGTATGGTTCTACAGAAGGATGCTAAGGATACCATGGACCGAACATGTGAGCAACGATGAGGTTTTGGAGAGGATGCAAACAAGGAGGAAGTTTATACTTAACATCAGGAAGAGGCAGATGAAATTTCTGGGACACGTAATGAGAAAGGAAGGCTTGGAGAATCTGATACTCACAGGGCGGATAGAGAGCAAGAGAGAATGGAAAGTAATATGTAACTTACCTAGCGATCTTAAGAAAGTGGATGACGGAACAGGATTTGGGAGAAGTAGTAAAAGGACAAAACATTTAAGAACTACAAGAGATAGGGGGAAATGGAGAGCCATGAACGTGTTTTTTTTTTTTTCAAGTCATATATTTCGAAATTAACACTATTATCTACAAGAGTTTTTTTTTATTATTATTATAGGCGCTGGAAGCTGGGTATGATAAAATAAAAACTCAAAGGACGTTAAAAAAAATTAATTAAAAAAAAACATTAAAAAATTTCTTTTCCGTCACATTCAATGAAACTTACACAAGAAGGCATGATGGGGTAATGGATAGCGGCTCGATTTAAGGAATCAGAGAGCCAAGTTCGAATTCCAGTCGAATCCATTTCATTCACTTACGTGCTTGGGAAAAGGTATGAATCCTCATCTTCAATATAGCAGGACAGACGGAGTTCTACCTCAGAAAGAAATGGCAACCTACTGCGGGGAAAATGTATCGAAAGATACATAATCTCCCTAAAAATGTGTCATAATAATTAACATGACTGACTCGGAAAAGAATGATTTTTCATATATTTTTACAACTGACTTGTTTCTTATTCTGTTGAACTTAGTAAATGTAGAGCTGGATAGTTGCTTAGTGTAGTTAATATCTACTGATTTCTTCCTGGGGCCAAACTGGGGTATGAGAGTCGGAGTTCTAGCTGGTTGAAAGGAAAAGCTCATCTGCTTGTTTGACATGGTAGAAGTTGACTGAAGTGTCACCTGCCATTCGGAAGCCCATACAAGTTAATTCCAGAGATTTCATTTCTTACCGAGGCGTTAATTACTACCTTGTGTTTCCCTAGGTTCTCTCTCTCTTTTTTTTTTCTTTCTTTTTTTTGTCTTTGTCTACACCGACGCGAACAAAACTAGAGACGCAACGTGGGGTTATTTGTCCGGTCGTTGAGAGAGTGATCTGTTATGTGTTTACATCAGCAGAAGATAGAAACTATCTTAGAAAATATGATACTGTACAACGTGAAGATTCAATTTGATCTCTATCCTGGCAAGAAAACTGGATTTAACCCTTGAAAAATCATGTTAGTCTGATTGTATGTGTTTGTTTGTTTTTTTATTTTATTTACTTATTTTATTTATTTTATTTTATTTTTTTATTTTTTTTTTTTGATTTATTTTATTTATTTTTGCGAAATTCATGCCCATGGAAATATTTCGAGTTATTAGATAAGCGGAAATTCTTTATTCGTGAAACGAAAAATAATACGCGTCCTTCTGTATTTGTATCGTGTCGCCTCTGGACGTAGGCAATCATGGCGCTCCATAATTTCCTCTCCTTCGTAACACTTAATGAATTTATTTTTTTGTTATTTCTCCTAAACCTTTCCTGCTATCCATTTACTCAAACTCACTAAGTATGTTATGCATTGTTTTCCTCTGTCGTACTTGCCTTGGTAATACCTTTGGGAAAGGTATGAATCAACATCTTCTCTGTCTTGGGTATGA